GGACCTCTGCAGGCACAGGGATCTGCTTTTGTCAAACAGTTTTCAGAATATTGGTCTAACTTTGAATGGAAAGAAGCTTCTTTTTTTTCCTAATGACTAATAATCTATTTTGAGGCGTCTCTGTGGGATAGCTATTTTAAACTTTGGTGAGGACTGGCAAGGAAGTGCTACTTTGGATTTTTATGTTTTCTTTTTACGTTTCAGGTGTTGCTGCTTATGTTGGCTGGCAAAGCTCATCAATACTGAAACCTCTGCTTCAACAAGGTCTCAGTGATGCTGAAGAATTTGTCATTTATAAAGCCCTCAATGCTCTCACTTGTATGTGCCAGTTAGGGCTCTTGCAAAAGCCCCATATTTATGAGTTTGCTTGTGATATCGGTGAGTTGGAGCACTGGAGAATATGTTGTTTTTCCTAGTTAGGAAAAGAAATCTTAGTATTACATAAAGCTTCACTGTCAGCTTAACTGTCCAATATGCATACCTATAGTACTGTTTTAGAATCTACACAAAACTGTATTAATCAACTATTGCTAGTCAGACTATGAGTGCTCAGAACTCTAAAATATTAATTTTGGTGAAGAAATTCGAAGTGGCTTCTCTGATTTCATAAAGGACAGCAGCAAACAACACTTAGTCCAAAAGCTTTCTGCATTAAGATCTTTGCTGTTTTTCATGCCAACCTCCTATAAAGAAAAACTCCTGGTTACTTCTGGAAGTTGATCAGGCACATAACTTGCAAACTCTTAGCCGTCAGCCTTTGAGGAAGGGGGGAATCCAGTCCTTCAGATAATAAATGATCCTTTCTCATCCTGTTTCTAACACCGTAAAATCTCATTTAACTCAATAGAATCTTGAATAGAGTTGGTCTCCTCCTTTATCAGACTTATCAGTTCAATTTAGATGTGCCCAAGATTTACCAGGTATTTGTGGAAAAGAAAATACCAACTGATCTTTTCAGATGTGGTCTGCTTTTTCCTTATGTTAGGGCTTTTCAAATGCCATAACATTATGGGGCAGATGATCTGTGACTATATCTCATGACTACATGCAGTCCTTTGATTACAACTTCTTAAAACCTACATAATTGAGATGGACTTCTGAGTCTGATAATCTTACAATATAAGTAGTGACTATTCAAGGCACAGAGGGGAAGAAGGAAAGAATAAAGTTTTACTTAAAAATGAAAAAAAAAATAATCACTGGTATTAGGATTATCCATAATAGCCCAGAATAAGGTTGAGACCTATTTTTGAATCTCCTTTGCAAATCTGAAGTTGACAACAAGTATTGAAATGAATAAATAGGAAAAATATGCTTTTAGGCAGCAGCAAGGAAGCTGAGCAGCATGGACACAGTGAAGTCCATGAGATAGTTTTCTCAGTATGAGTGTTTTAATCTTGGTACTCTGAAGGAAGGAAGGTTCAGTTTTGGGATAATTCTAGGGGAAGGAAATGACATCGCAGGCTGCCATATATAAGATGATTCCCTCTTTTTAATATGAATGATATATTTTAACAGCCTATTATTTATTACTTTTTTTCAGCACCTTTCCTGTGTCATCCTAATCTTTGGGTATGTTATGGTGCTGTTGGATTTATCACTGTGGTAGCACAGTATTTGAATATTGCTGATGTCTACTGCAAGCTAATGCCATACCTCCATCCCTTTATCACACAACCAATAATACAGGTAATAAGTCAAATAATATTGAAGTGAGTATATCTTGGCTAGTTATAACTCTTAAGTCTGTCTTGGCCATAGTCCTGGGCCAAGATTAGTCCAAAATTAGGGTTGGTTTTTTTGGTTTTTTTTGGGTTTTTTTTTTTTTTTCAAGTAAGGTTGGAGGCAGCATAGTTTTTGGAACTCAGCTGGCAGACATTGCCAGAATGGCCATTGCCTTTCATGTTTGAAAGGCTGTTGTCTCAAATTCATTGCAAGTTGCAGAACATTTTACAAAGGTTAAAGTCAGCAGGTATGTCTTTGGTTCAAGCCCTTCTCTGCCTTGTTTACAATCAAACTCTTGCAATATTGTGCTATTTTATGAGTCTAAAAGTCATGAAAAGTTGGCAGTGAAACAAGTGTTTGTGTTTTATGCTTTCATCTTCAAGACCAAGTGTTCCAGCCCTGCCCCGCTAGCACATTTGGCTGTGGGCCTGACCCTGTGAAAATAGGGGCAGTCTGTTAGGCAACAGTTACCGTGCTTGTGGCTTCAGCAGTGCTACTGCCAAGGGCAAGGGCAGAATACTCAGCATGAATGAGTTAAGTAATTTCATAACGGCACGTGTCTAGGAATGACCTGCATGATGCTGGTAATATGATCATATTTGTATCCTATTGCATCTAACTTTTGGACCTCTAGAATGCATCTCTCAGGTGTTTAAATAAATAAGAAACAAATGCAGTACTTAAACACGTGATGCGCTTTTCAGTGTAACATTTTCTTGTAAACCAGGCAGGTGGTAACTTCACTAGAAGAATATTTTTATCTTGTTTACATTTCCCTAGACACCTTGCGCAGTGTTTTGGGCACTGATTGATAAATTTCTGTCTTCTTCACTTCCTGCTTCATTTTAGTCTGTAAGTCTTTACTATACAACACTAAATATAGTAAGCAAGTAGGGGGTAATATTTAGTTGAATCATAATAAAGTCCTTCCTTTGGACTCATTTTGAAGTTGTTTTTCATGTGGACAGACAACTATGAGCTGCATGTTATAGGAATGAGGTCTTCTGACACGGATGTGAAAGAACAATTGCAATCCCAACTCCATCACCTCCCGTTAATTATTTTGAGTATTCCAACCTTTGTACAAGCATTTATGTCATAATTTGGGGCCTAATTAGGTTTAGCCATTTAAATGTGGGACTGTAACTGGGGGCCTATTTCATGAATATGGCTTGCCCTCCCCCTGCCATCTTAAGACCTACTCTTGAAACAGCAAAGAGCAAGTACTAAAAAGTATAAACTCGAAGGAATGTTGGGGCTGAAAGTAATATGGGTTGTATGCAAGATTTTGTTTGTTCAGACACATTCTATGAACACAGACAGACACTGATTTGCCACCTGGGAGAATAGAAACTTGTTTGGGTTTTTTTCTGTTTCAACAGGAATGAACTATCTTTAGTAAAGAATCTTTAGTAGTAAAGAACTGTCCTGGTTAATGATTCTAAATTATGCCCTAACTCGTCAGTTTCTTATGATTGTTTATTAATGTCTCAATATGCTTTGAATATTGCTTAATTAGATGGTTGTGCATCCTTATTCCTTTGTATACATAGGAGGAAACCTGGTAATCTGACTGGCATAGAGGAGGAGCTCTTCTAGTTGGCATTTTTACAGTGTAAATATAGGATAAAGAAAGACAGTTTGAAATATGTACTTATAGCAGAATTTTTAATGCCATCTAGCAATACCAAGTTACCATTCTGAGACTGCTGGTAAAGAGAATGGAGAAAACCAGATGTGACCAACACGGATCTTATTTTCAAGAAAGGAGATAATTTGAATCTAGATTATTTGCACAATGATGTGCAATGATTTTGAAGTACTACATGATTTTTTCTTACTGTAAGTTTGAAACCATCTCTCCAGGACTGGCTGAGCTGGAAACTGGTTTTTAGAACCATGCATTCAGGGGAAGAGATTAATTTTTGTATTATATTTGCAGTTGTCCAGTCATTGACTTTCAGGGTAGGAGAAAAAAATGCAAACACTATAGACATGAGGTGACAGTGTTTACTGCTAGATTTCCTCATGTTTATATGGATATCATCCTCCTCCGTGTTGACTGATCTTTCTTTTGGAATTGCAGATAGATAAAGAAATAGTCCTGTTAAGTGTACTTAAAGAGCCTGTCAGCCGTTCCATATTTGATTATGTCTTAAGATCAAAGGATATCACAAGCCTCTTCCGACACCTTCATATGCGTCAGAAGAAGAGGAATGGTGTTCTCCCTGACTGTCCACCCCCAGAGGACCCTGCCATTGCACAGCTTTTGAAGAAGCTTCTTTCACAAGTAATGTTTTTCATTATGCACTTTGAAAGTCAGGCTTGAGGCACTTGGGCTCTGAACGTCTCCACAGACCCAAAACTTGCCGTTGCTGCTGTGGGGGGTCCCAGGCTGAGGTTCTGATCCTGCAGTGTGTTCTCTCCTTCCACTTCCGAGCCAGAAATTAATGCTGCTGCTTGTTACATCTTCATGCCTTGATGCATGTTCTCACTCAAAAGTAAACAGTATTTTCTTCTATTTTGTAGGGCATGACTGAGGAGGAAGAAAACAAACTGTTAGCACTGAAAGACTTTATGTTAAAGTCAAATAAAGCTAAAGCAAATATAGTGGATCAGAGCCATCTGCATGACAGCAGTCAGAAAGGGGTGATTGACTTGTCAGCTCTGGGAATAACTGGGAGACAAGTGGATCTTGTTAAAACAAAGCAGGACCCTGATGACAAACGTGGTTGGTATATTTTGTGGTCTGTATAGGTAAAGTATAGCCTTTCTTTCAGCGTCAGTGAAATTAAGTCTTTAATTTACTCAGCGAGTGTTCTCAGTAATTCAGCCTACATAATTATCACCATCCTCACCAGGTTTGCTATAAGAAAATTACTGCTGCTATTTGAAATGTGAGGTGGTGAAAGATGGGCATGTTTTGCCCCTGAGAAGATTTAAATTACTATGCATTTGCAGTAGTAGTATGCACCATTTGTTTAGCAGATCATGACAACTAGGGCTATAGTGACCCATGCTAACAGTGTAAATTATAAAGGTTACATTTCTGTACTCTCTGCTTTCCCTCAAGAAGCAATGAGCTCTTACATATATCTGTGTCAGCTGACTTAACCTAGCAGTACGGGCTTCCCAATATGTAAAATAATAAACAGGCTTATAAACATTGGACTTGCCTGTAGTCTGAAAGTACTGACCAACCTTAGTGAATGTTGTCATGATAACGTTTGGATTTTGGGTTTCATTTTTTTTCTCTTCTTCCACCTCCTCCCTCTCTCCTAACTGCTTATAGCTAGAAAACATGTAAAGCAAGACTCAAATGTAAATGAAGAATGGAAAAGCATGTTTGGGTCCCTGGAACCAACAAACATCTCCCAGCCCGTATCCAAAGGACATGGGCAAACAACTGATCCTGAAGCCATCCAGGCTGGGAAACCACTTCGTTCAGAGTCCTCAGCTGGCATTTGTACCACTTTATCATCCTCTCCACAGGTATTACTGAAAAATAGTATCTTTGCATCTTAAACTGAAATGATTAAGTTGTTTTAAAGCCAAGTGGGACTACAGGGATGTGGCATTCTTGTTTGTTTGGAGGTTATTAGACACTGGTCATGGTATTCTCTGGTGTCTTCTCTAGTACAGTAGCTGACTTTCAAATTCTTATTTTTAAAGTAGGAATTGAGAGAAGGATGCGGGTAAGTTGAATAGAAGAGTTTCACTAACAAGTAGATGTTTTGCAAGAAGGGATGGGGCTTTGTGAATTAGTCAATCATTAGGTAAGCTGTTCTAGCAGGGAAGACTTTCCCTCAAATTGCATGCCCTGATATGTGTTGTGAGGAAGAGATGTCATGATTTTAACTGGAACTGGTGTATCATATCATAGCTGCTTTTAGACATCCCATGCCTGTAGTACTTAGTACCGGCTACAGAAAGATGGTCTGGAAGCCCTGCAGGCTGTGGAGGCATCTGAACACTGTTTCCTACTTGGTTTCTAGTTGGAGATTAATTTCTGCTAGCTTTAAAGGAGTGTCCACTCTGAACTAAGGGGGAACAGTTTTCTTTTTAAAGCCCAATATAAAGAAATAATTGTTTGAGAGCTAACCTGCAATTCTGTCAGTCTTGAGAGCCATAACTGCTTCTGTAATCGTGTATGAGGTGTGCGTGGCAGTTTCTACAAATAGAATACAGAACAGACTAGGCAAACAGGGTAGAGTAAGTGAATGGTTAAGCTTTTCTATAAATAATAATTTTCACTATTTTACATTGTTTTTATGGAACATGAATTCTTTACTGCTAATTTATTGCTAGTTGATTCAATTAGAAAAAAAAGCTTTTTCCACTTTCTTTCAGTGTGACCCAGTAATCTTAAGAGCAAGATCTATCCATGTGTAGAATATAAGGGTTATATTTTGAAGTACTTTCCTCTTACAGGCATCTGATGGAGTGGTTGTTCAGCCCAGGAAACCAACCATGCAGGTGCTGAGCAGTACAGCGTCCCCATCTGCACACCACTTACGCATCACCACTTGCAAAACAGAACTTCAGCAGCTGATCCAGCAGAAGCGAGAGCAGTGTAATGCAGAGAGGCTTGCCAAACAGATGATGGAGAATGCTGAGTGGGAGAGCAAGCCCCCACCTCCAGGTAAATTGCAGGCCACTAAGGTAGCTATATAAAAAAATGTGTATATATAATTTGAGTCAAAACGTCATTATTGAAAGGAAAAAATGCAAAAGATGAGGAAAAGGGGTAATTATTAGATTAAAGAATGTGCCTACTATGCAGAACATGCATTTGGCAAAATATATGCATGACCTATGAAAGAGGTCATCGAACGTAGAGCTTTACCTTGCAGAAACAGATCCAAAGCACAGGTCTGAAGTCCAGGTTGCGTGCTCTGTTTCAGTGAGTTTTCTGTTTGTAGCCAGGTATATGGCAGATTTGGCATATATAACTTGCCATCCTGTAACAGCCTCCCCTTGTTTTGGGCAAGGGGAGAAGCACTGTGTTGGGAGGTGAGAAATGTATTTTGCCTGGGTTAGCTCCAGATTTTCAGCCATCCTGTGAGTATTGTAACCCCTTGGCCAGATTTTCTTATCAAGTGGCACACGTACAGGGGTAGGCTGTTGGAGCTGCCCTTGTTTACAAAGGAGCCTGTCCCTACTAGCAGTGGTGACAGTGACACAGTGCCCAGCCACAAAGAATATGTTCTCTCACACAAATGTGTGTTCTCGTACTATGTTATTGCATTATTGTTCCTTCTTGTTCCTCCCCTGGAGCAACACCCAGGTTTTGCTCATGAGGGCTCTGGCAGCCACTGTGGGAGAAAACATACAATTTTAAATCACAGCCATCTTCCTATGGCCACAACTTAAATTTTGAAGCTCCAGGTTGAGACTGGGATTTCCTGAGATTAGTCCTCATCCTCATCATTTTCTGCTGGTGTTCTCCACTCCATGTGCTTGTTGCTGGGTGTCCCATATGGAGATGTCTGACTGGCCTCTCTAATGGGAGTTCATGTGCTTAAACTCCAGATTTTGAGAGCAGAGTCTGTACAAGCTAGGCTTGCAGTAATCGACACATGTATGCTAAAGTCTTTTGGTAAATCTAGGATTAAAGGTACACACTTAGGCATATACAACTACCAAGTCAATTTAAGGGAAGTAGTAGAAAATCATCAGGAAAATGGTCCAATCGGATAGCATTTGAACATAACTAACATTGACTGAGCTTGGCTAAGCCATCTATTTGTCTTCTGAAGAAAGTTTTACAACCTATGAAATAACATGTTCCAATACAAGCAGCTGACCTGCTCTGTTACACGAGTGAGTGCCAGAAAAATGTTCATATTTAAAGTTTGTATCTCATTCTGAAATTTGCTGTGGTTTGTCTTTCATTATCTTCACTAAAGTAGATGCCTGCTGGAAGTGCAGCCAAATACATCTGTGTTGCTTACTTCAGAGGAGGAAACCATACAAATGTTAGCAATTTCTTGGCAAGAGTTATTTCATGGCAGCTTAAGTCCTCAATTTCTTTCTGAAGGACTGGAGTATATTTTCTGTTACTCTGTTGTACTAGGTACCTAAGGCTGACAGTGTAACATGTAATGCAGCACTGAACCTGTCGGTTCACGAACACTACAGATAATCCAGAAACTTAAGTCTGTCCCAGTGTGTTGCTTGTTGTGTTCATTTTGGGCATTTATAGGATTGCCATTTGCAGCACAGCAGTCTGCATGCTGATAGCAGAAGTGTGCACTAGTATCTGTAGAAGTCTACATAGAAGGGCTCTTTGTAATTTCACTGAATGTACATGGAATCCATCTAAAAGACAATTCTTACCTGGATCTGCCAATAGGGTTTAGTTTAGAATTAAGCAAGTAGGCTTTTCCCTTTAACATTTTGTTCTTTGTTTTCAGTGCCTTCTGTGCTGTGCAGCTGTAATGACTGTATCATAGAATCACAGAACAGTTTGGGTTGGAAAGGACCTTAAGATCACCCAGTTCAAACCCTCTGCCATGGGCAGGGACACCTCACTAGACCATGTCACCCAAGGCTCTGTCCAACCTGGCCTTGAACACTGACAGGGATGGAGCATTCACCACTTCTTTGGGCGGTCTGTGCCACTGCCTTAGCACCCTCACAGGGGAAAGCTTCTTCATTATATTTAACCTGAACTTCCCCTGTTTCAGTTTGAACCCATCACCCCTTGTCCTATCACTACAGTCCCTGATGAAGAGTCCCTCTCCAGCAGCCTTGTAGCCCCCTTCAGACACTGGCAGCTGCTCTGAGGTCTCCATGCAGCTTCTCTTCTCCAGGCTGAACTGCCCCAGTGTTCTCAGCCTGGCTTTGCATGGCTTCATGTATCCTGATACAGCTGTTAGTAGATGCGATCAGGGAGATTTTCATGTTCCTAATTAGGTTATGAAATCAACACCAAATTCCATGGTTTTGTTTTTCCCTGCAGGTTGGCGTCCCAAAGGATTGTTGGTAGCTCATCTTCATGAACACAAATCTGCTGTGAACCGTATTCGGGTCTCTGATGAGCACTCCATTTTTGCCACTTGCTCAAATGATGGCACAGTGAAAGTCTGGAATAGCCAAAAAATGGAAGGAAAAACCACTACAACCAGGTAGCTTTAAAACTCAGGGGGTTTTGGGACTGCTGTTTTAGGAGTGCAAAATAAATCAGAGTGGGAAGCAAAATAGGAATCACTTGTGAGTGTGCTGGAGATACCAGTAATGAAATACACTGATGTACTTGGCATGCAGCTATAAAATACTAGGTTTCAGTTAGTTAATGAAAGAAAAAACATCACTAGGAAATGCAATCACAGCTATAGTAATTATGGGCTTTTTTTATTTCATTTCTATACATACATAAATATATCCTGGTGCTGCTGTTTAAAGCCATCTGAGGGTTTTTTGAACAAATTAGCTTTATGCTTAACTATCTCATCCACTGATACTTGATGCAGGAAAGCTGTATTGCTGGTTGAAGCACAGGTGGTATGGTATGCTGCTTTGATACAGTCCTAGAATAGACTTTTATTTTACTGGTAGGCAGATGTGTGCTTCTGCACCTGGAGACTCATAGCCTAGAGGCTTAAAGATGGAGAGTTAAGCTTGCAGAGGCAACACAAGCTTTGTTGCTTTCTTATTTTGGAACACTTAGAAAATGTTATATAGAAAAGTGTTATTTTCACTCAGAAAATGTTATTACATTACCAGAATGTAATGGTTCACTGGAAATAACGAGCCATTGGTTTTAAGTAAGTGTTTGAGAGAAGTAATTTTTTTTT